TTTTGGTCGGAGTTTCAGCTGAGGAAGGAAAGCCAAGGGAGGGAGAGAGAGGAAAAGATTTAAACCGGAAATCCTAGGGTAGGTACAAGGAAATTAAGAAAAAAAAATGTTTGAGGGAAATGGAGAAATGAAGGATGCACTACGAAGAGAGGAAGAAGCAGAGGAGAGAGAGGAAGGAAAAGAAAGGCTTAAGAAGAGAAGATAAAAAACTAAAGATCCGATATGATAGGACTTAGTGATATGGTAACGTCATCGACCATATTATTGGGCGTAAGACTTGGATAATGATATGATAGTGTTTGTTACGAAATGGGAGATCGTAGCAATATATTCGGGCGTGTTATGGCTAATGGAGTTACATTACATAGAAGAAACGAGAAAATGCTCATTATGGGGTGGTAGGGAGGGATGCTTTGATATGTATTGATAGGAAGAAGTTCTGGGTGTACTGATAAATGCAAGGGAGGGAAGAAGATGCACCACAAAGACGGATGAATTCGAAGACGTAACCCAAGATGACAAAAGCAATGAATGGGAAATGGAAAGGTGGAAAGGATGTTTACGTTGCGATGTATAAGGTGTCCTATTAAGGTATGAGGCGGAGCAGAGCGAGGAGGGAGGGAGCTCAGGGGGTACTGTGGAAAACGAACGCTGGAGGATGGAATAGAGGGAGTATGGTGGAGTATGGAGGAGTATGGAGGGTGTACTGGGGTAGGGTCCGTTTTCTGTGAGGTGCTGGTGCTGCTACTACCCCCGAGCTGCGGCCCACAGGGAGGGGAGGGAAGGGGCCGCGTGCACACACCCTCCTCGGCACCACACGCCCGCGCCGCCCACGCCACAGTAAGTACACTTAAACACTGTCTAGGATTCGTGTCGAGTGTCTAGGTGTGTGCTGGACCAGTCTAGAACAGCGGGGAGGTGAAGGAACAACGGAGAGAGCAAGCGACTATGGGTGTATGGGAGTAACTAACACCTCCACCTCCACCGCCGCCGTCAACCACCATAGCCTGAGCCTACCCAGCATCGAGCGAGGGAAGGGGGAGTGCCAGTGAGAGAAAGAGCAACTCAGCCGCCGTCGAAGCAAGCGTCCCAGCCCGAGGCACCAGTGCCACACGAAGCAACTATTGATTACCTTTGCTATTGATCTTTTCCCGAGGTAAATTGTGAGAGAGGTTGGTGGGGCGGCTGTAGACTGTGGGCTGGCTCTCCGAGGCTGGCGCTGGCACTGCCTCCACCTCCTCCTCCTACCGCCACGCACTCTCACTCAGTGCCAGCTAGATATTGATCCATTGATTTTCCTGCTCTGGCACCGTCTATTTTATTTTCACATCATGCAGTTCTCAGTCCGCGCCGACCCACCGCCAAGATCACCACGAACACGGCGCGTACATACTTAAACTTGGCGTGACTTTACCGTAGACTTTTGTCACAAATTGATCGTGGTCCGGCGGGTTCACGGCATGTGTCGAGAGCGATCACCAGTCGTGAAGTGCCGCGCGCCGACCAAGCTGCTAGTAGAATAGTCAATATGTTACGAAACCTAATTTTAATAACGGCTCAGTATTATTGTTAAACTCTGTAAATAAAATCAAACCAGGGATAAAGTGTGTATACAAGTTGTACAAAGCTGCAAAAAAGTACCTTTCATCGTAATTTTAATGCGCTAAATATGTGATATTAGTGAGCGAACTTCCGAGAAGTGAAATGTGAGTGTGTATGTTAAGAAATGTGTCGAAAATATTTGTGTAAGTGTGGTGCAATATATGAGTGCGTATTCAGAAGCTATTGAGTGCGTGATTATTAAATTCCATGAGTGCGTACTAGTGTGACATCAAGATGCAACCGTCCCTCCTTCCTTAAATTGGCTCTCACCTATGTTTCCGTTTTTGATTCCCCACATGTAAGTATGGAGGACATAAAAGCCTCTGCATGTTTTTCCTACGCCTCTCACTACGCCTTTTTCCACGCCTCTCATTGAACGTGGCTCGCCATATGCTTTTGTTGATCAAACTTGCAATACTTTTATTCTTCCATCTAATGGTATTAGGCGTGCTAAATTTAGCTGGAGGAAAAAAAATATAATGGTGCTAAAAATAATTTGTTATTTAGTGATGCGCTTTGCTGTGTTGCGATGAGAATTATAATGATAATTAGTGTGTGTCTGGATGTACTTTGATTTACCGGAGAACTTGCTTGCTCAGTCCGGAATTTATGTGCATTGTATATAAAGTGATTGTTCCGGCAGCGAAAGCTTTCTCTCGCCGCGACGTCCGAATGAATTGTTTGCTGTTATAAGCATTGGCGTCCAGAGGAAATTAACTGTGATAATCCCCGGCCATGCGACTGAACATGACTCGCGAACGTTTAATCGGTCGAGAACCAGCGATGTGACATGAGTGCGGTCCGACGTCACAAAGATGAGGTAATGAGAACGGACGCCGACTGATCCAGCGCTACAGTAAGCAAATAGAGCGGCCGTTGTTTGTCCTTTTCCCCGTGCCGTGATCAGGCCTTATTATCCTGAAGAACTTGCCTGCGTGCTTGGCGGTAATTAGCGGAGCTCGCAAATTTCTCGGGGAGGAACACATGATGTGGGAAACTGGAAATAAAGTAGCCTCTCATTTGCTCTCAAGAAAACAGGGTCCAGGGAATATTTTTCCTAAGGGAAAGCTTATTCTTTTTCGCTTTTATTTGTCTTAGCCACAACGGACATTGATTGCCACCGAAAGCAATGAAAGGTTGATCTTTACTCATTCATTATCTGCGCTACTGTTAGATCTTCACTACGCAAAAAAGACAAGAAACTTACATGTAAAGTCCAGACAACGATGAATACATATTTTATGATTACTATTAATAATCACATTCACGGGAGACAAGCTTTGCTCCGTAAACACACGATGAATTAGAGAGTCAAGATTAATTCTTTACGATGTTTGTTCCAAGCATGTTGCTAAGCTTGTGATTCCTTTTTACTGAAGGCGTTCGGGCGGTGAGCGAGACAAGACGAAAGACAAGATGCGGCAACGTCATGTTCTTGAACTGATCGGAAGTACCACGTCGGTCTGATCTCTTTTCTATCGTTCTCTTCGTCATCAAATCATGACAAAGTTGTATGCCATTTGCGATTCAGTACCTCTGGAGAAGAAAAAAATATATAATGAAAGGTGGAGGAAAGATGACGAAAATACACCTGTAACTCTGTCTGCCCCACGCAAGTTTGCTCATTGTTCTCACCTTTGATATTTGTGAATGGTCGGCCTCTCCTCCTCCTCCTCCTCCTCAACCTCTCCCTCCCCCCCCCCCCCTCCTCCCGCCCCCTCCTCCCCCCTCCCCCGACCCCCCCCCCCGTAACCCCTCCTCCCCCTCGGCTCCCAGTGCGCCGACGTACACCCCTTCTACCGTTCTTCTTCCCCGTCTCTTTTTCCTTCTTCTTTTTCTTCTATCTTCTTTTTCTTTTTTTCTTCTCTTTTTTCCCGGCATCTCCCTCCGTTACTAACTCGCTTCTTCCAAAACTTTCACAGAAAACCTTTAGCAAGTAACAATTTCTCTCGTATTTTCTAACAACGAGTCTTTCTCGTAGCCTCCACCTTGACTCCACCTCAGCCTCGAGTTTTCCAGCCCCGTTTTCCCCTCATGCGAACCTTCCCATACAATACCCTCATTAGCCCTCATTCTCACGTCCATCAGCCCCTTCGGATCGACATCTCATCAATCTTCGTCCTAAAACGTTATCTATTCCTATACGTTCTCTTCATCACGGTGTCTACGAAACGACGAATTCTCTCATATTTTGCCCCTCACAATTTCTCATTATTTTTCTTCCTCATTCGTCCGTTTATCAAAATATTCAGCTTCCCGTTCATTTGTTTAGCCACTCACTCATTCATAGATTCTGGTGATCTATCCATCATTCATAAATCCATCCAACCTTTTAATTACCCTTTTGTCAGGCCGAAATCCATCTATCAGTCCACATCCCCGTTCAGACGCTAATCCACTTATCCCTCTGTGAAATCAGTCAGTTTTGTCTTTGTAAATTCGTCCGTCTATCCCATCCATTCGATTATTCTTCTATCCTTTAGTCCCACTATTAGTTTGTCTTTTTATATCCAACCAGCTGAAAGTCCACTTCCTATCCACCCAACTGTCGGTCCAACTCTCCTCCATCTAACCATTTGTTCGTCCTTCTATCCACCAAACCAACGGTCTATCCGTGAAAGCAAAAGTCAACCCTTCTATCCAGTCACTGAATCAAACGGTGTACGAGCCATGCATTTGTCTCCGCCTCACCCCCCTCACCCCCCCCCTTCCTACCCCCCTCTCAGCCCGCCCAGCGCCCACTCCCCTTGTTTACCACGAGAGCTTAAACGTTTGCTATAATGTTTGCCTTCGTTTGCGATGTGAATGATTCCGGCCTCGCACACACGCACGTGCCGAGTCCGCGAGACAAGTTTTCTATTGGCTCTTTGTTATACATCTGTTTATCCTGTTTCTTCTTCTCTTTCTCTCTCTCTCTCTCTCTCTCTCTCTCTCTCTCTCTCTCTCTCTCTCTCTCTCTCTCTCTCTCTCTCTCTCTCTCTCTCTCTCTCTGTCTGTCTGTCTGTCTCCCACAATCTATCTCTGTTTCTCTTGCTCGTTCGCTCGCTCTCTTCTTCCCATAAAGTTATGATTTTATGACGCTGTGATTTTTTTCATGACCTCTCCTATTCCTCTTTTATATGGCTACGCTGAAATAGTGGGTTGCATTCAGTGCCATGTCCAGAAGGGTATCGCTATTCCCTATACCAGTGAGTTTTTCCCCATATTCACAACCTAAGGTGTTACGTGACCAGTGTGTATTGGCGCGTCGAGTGTCCCTTTGAATTCAGTGTACAGATGCATGACTCGATCAAATCATTTGCTACTTTAACTTACTTATAACATGCGAAATGTGAGCTGTGACCCGGGCCGCTCTCACCCCCAGACGATAAGTAACCATTGATGCTTTCTTCCCACAGGGTGTCGTCGGGCGTCAGAATGGCCATGTCCCCTCAGCAGTTCTGTCTCAGGTGGAACAACCACCAATCCAACATCATATCGGTGTTCGAACAACTCCTTCAGAGCGAGTCCTTCGTGGATGTTACGCTAGCGGTCGAGGGCATGACGTTGAAGGCCCATAAGGTGGTGCTCTCCGCCTGCAGCCCGTATTTCCAGGTGAGTGAAGACTTGGTTGGACGTCCGTCTCGGGAAAGTGCATGTGCAGTAGGTGTGTGTTGTTTAATAGGGTGTGTGAATAGAGGCAGAGAGAGAGAGAGAGAGAGAGAGAGTGAGTGAGTGAGAGTGAGAGAGAGAAGTTAAGCAGAATATAATTAAACAGAAATAGAGTTAGAAAAATAAAAATGCACTGTACCAAATGCATAGAAATCCCATTCCTATTTATAAGGTACACACTAATGTGATACTAATATAATTAGTAATAATAGTAGATAATAGAAAACGATAATGATGATAATAATGGCAATAATAAAAACAGCAACAACAATACTAATGATAAAGGCAATAATGGTAATAATAATGATAATAACAAAAATAATAATGATAATAATAATAATGATAATCAACAATAATATTAACGATGATACTGTCATTAATGATGTTAACAATGATTATAATAATGATAAGGATGATGATGATAATGATAATGGTATTAATAATAACTGGAACAATGAAAATGATAATAATGGTAACAACAATCATAATGTTAGTGATAATGATAATAAAGATAATGATAATAGCAATACTAATGATAATGTTAATAAAGATGATAATGAGGATAATAATGATAATAGCAATAATGATAATGGTAAGAGAAATGATGATAAATAATAATAATGATGATAATAATAGTATTGTTAATGATGAAAGTAATGCTAGTACTACTACTATTACTACTACTACTAATAATAATAATAATAATAATAACAATGATAATGATAAATATAATGATATTAATATCAATGATGATAATAGCATTAATAAAAATACTGATAAATATGATAATGTTAATCATGTTAATAATGAAAATGCTAATAATGATAATAATAATGATAATAATGGTTATGATAATGATCGGGTAATAATGATGATAATGATAATAATAATGATAGAAATTATAATAGTCATCCTAATAACGACATTGATAATAATAATGTTGATAATGATAATAACATTAATAAACAAAAGAAATGATAATGATAATAACAGCTATAATGATCAGAATGATATTAATGACAATAAAAGTTAAAATGCTAATAACAATGACAATGATAATAACATTAATGGTAATGTTAATAATAAAAATACTAATGGTGATGTTCATAATAATAATAGAATTATGATAATAATAATGGTTGTGATAATAACAATAGTAATAATAATGATAATGATGATAATAATAGTAATATTAAAGCTACTACTAATAATGACGTTAATGCCAATAATAATGATAATGATGATAATGATAACAGTAACAATAATAGTGATGATGATGATAATGATAATAATAGTAATAACAATAATAATAATAATAATGATAACAATTATAATAACAATAATGATTATAATGATGATGTTGGTAATAAAAATAACTATGATGATAATAATATCAAGAACAACAGTGATTAAGATAGTAATGATAATGAATAAGAATAAGAATGATATTCATAATTGTAGGGATAAGGATAAAAGCGAATATTAGTAGTTATCTTAGTGGCAATTTTTATGATAATCATATATGTATATTTTTCAGTAATAATTGTTTTATTATTATCATTATCATTATTTTTTTATCATTAATAATCTTATTATTATTGTTATTACCATTATTGTTATCAATGTCATTATTATCATCATCATCATCATTATTATCATTATCATTATTATTATTATTATTATTATTATTATTATTATTATTATTATTATTATTATTATTATTATCATTATCATCATCATCATCATTATTATCATTATCATCATTATCATCATTGTTATAATTATTATCATTATTAGTATTATGATCATTAATATCATTATTTTTATTATTATTATTATTACTATTACTACTACTACTACTTCTACTTCTACTAGTATTATCATTATTATCTTTATTATTTTTATTATTATCATCATTTTTACTCTAGTATTGTAATTATTTTGATCATTATTATTATCACTGTAGTTGTTATTATTGTCGTTACAGTTGTTTTTCTTATTATTCTGATCAGTGTTGTTTTGTTGCTGTTCTTGTTATTATGATTGCTATTATTGTTATTATTTTCATTATTGTTACTACTACTACTATCATTAATATTGTAATTATTGTTCTCATTATTATTATTATCTTCATTGTTCTTGCTGTTGTTTTTTTTTTTTTTGGGGGGGGGTGTTATTATTGTTATTGTTACTATTATTATCATAACTGTTCTGTTATTATTGTTATTGTAGGTTTTTATTACATTA